TATTGTCTGTACCATTTCATGTCCAGGATGGCAGAAGTATCTCTTCTTTGAATCTCAACCAGGGGGCACGCAGAGCTGTCCTCACTGAAACTGTACAGGTAGAGACGGCCCAGACGGACCTGCGGCTCGTCCATGTCCAGTCCACTCTGCAAAAACGCAGATGTCCTCCGATTACCCTACCGGACACTGAGGGTGGGAACGGGGTGGCGGGAAAGGAAAGGTCAGTGCAGACCCTGGAGCGCTGCCTGCGAGCAGCACCTGCTTCTCCCAGCTGGAGAAATGCCTCTCCCGTCCAGGACTGGCCAGCACACCCACCAACGGGCCCTGTGCGCCTGGGACAGTCCCAGCTTAGGCCTGCTGTTCCAGTGCCAGCTCTCACTCTTAAGTGTACTTGTCTGGACTCACACAGATGCTCTCAAGAGGCGAGTACAGCTCCTACGAAATCCTATTTTCTCTCCACTCTAAAATTCATCCAGCAGCAGAAGCCACGCCTGCATACAGTGGGCTTTAGAGACGCCCGTTTCTAACCCACATCCCGGCAACGAGGCCAAAGTGGCTGCTTCACCTCGTGACTGCACGCAAGACTTTGTCTCTTCCAGCTTCCGCAGCTGCAGACGGGAGAGGCCTGGACCCGGGGGGCCGCTCTGCCTTTCCGGAGCCTTACCCGGCCCTTCCCGAGACCTTTCCCGACACAGGCGCCTGGCTCTGGCGCTTCGGCTCCTCGGTTAATGCCACTCGGGGAGCGTGGCCCTGCAGACCCACGGTCAGGCCGCCCTGGGTGGGGGCACCGCGCACCTTGTCCTCCGGCTTCTGCAGCTGGTATGTGCCGCACGCCAGCAAGTGCCTGCAGCCGTCCAGCGGGCACCACTCCACCGAGTCCGCGGTGTACTCCGTGTCCACCGCTTGCAGCAGCCGGACGCGACTGCCCGTTGCCCAGCAGTCGGGGGTCGCGGCGGTGACGGGGCTGGAGGACACCGGGCGGCGGAGGCGGGATGTTGAGGCCATGCTGCGAGCCGGCGCCGGGCGCGGGAGGACAACACAGCCCGGGGCAGCGACTTCCTCGCGACTCCTTCCGGGGCGCCGGGGCGGGACTTCCGGCCGCTGTTGCTGCCCGCGGAGACCGGGCTGCTGCGCCCCCTGTCGGCCGG